ATCCAAAATTAATAGACGGATTTGGACGGATCAATATAATTGGGTTGCAATTGATGCCTCTAGTTCTAAGGACCAAGAAATAGTGGCAAAAAGTTGTAAGTCGCTTTTTTTTTTCCCCTTAAAACTAAGAATCAAAGTCCAGACACCGAAGACGAGGAATGACATATAACATATAATAGATGAAGATTAAAGGGACGTCAAAACAAAAATAAAGTAGTGAAATCGAAAGCCAATTTCTGGGGGCGAAAGAAGTAAACGTACTCGGTGCAGTCAATGTTAGGATCAGTGGTAATGCTGAGGTTGACGTTGCAGACGGCCGGCAGTTGCTTGGCGTTGTCACAATTTAAGCAAGGATAAGTTTGCGCAGATCAGATTTCGAGCATTGGCAAGCGGATTGCAAATCAGTCCTTATATCTACGAACTTGCATGAGAGTATGCGCGTTGCATGTTGCAAGCCAATCTTAGTTAGGACTCAGTTTGAAATTACACATTAAAGTTTAAATGAATCCTGTTAATCTTATTAATTTAATTTTATTCCATAAGAAAATGTTACTCCCTCCGTCCCATTTTCTTAGTCTTGGTTTTTTTTTTCACACAGATTAAGAAAGTGTAATTAATTTGGTTGGAAACATAAATTTAGAGTAATAATTTCCTAAAATACCCTTATGCTAATCACGAAGAGTGCATTGGAAAAGTTCAATGTATTCAATGTAGTGGGTTAGTATTTAATAACAATGTATTAATAACAAGATATTTAATAAGGGTATTGTAGACAATTTGAAAGATCACTACATTTCTTAATGGGAAAGTGGACTACAATTTGAGACAGACCAAAAAGAAAAACAAGACTATTAAAGTGGGACGGAGGGAGTATTGATTTCAGCCGAATTTGGCAACATCTTGTGCACCAGAACAACGTTGGGGTACTTCTGCACAAACGCATAATTATTTCGTTTGGTGCGTAATTCTTTCATTTATCACCTTGTAGTTTGTGCATGCGCCAGCTTGCGCTGAAAGGACTCAATAGTGTTCTTATTACTTCTATTTTTTTTTTCTCTGATAGGAAAAAGTTTGAATAGTTTCGACTCCGATTATCACGATGAATTAAGGCATGTTTCTAGTGCTTCTATGTCACCATGTGAGTAAAAAAAAAATGTTTAGGAGTACGAGAATTTGACACATATTGAACGCTATGATACTAACAATGAATTAGTACTGTGACGACGGTCTTATTAAATCCGAACCTGTAAAAACTTGACTAAGCATTAGTATGATAGCTTGATACTAGTAGGCATTAATACATAGATTTTAAATCTATCTGAACTGAGTGTAATTAATCATCATGTTTAACAACTTTACCAGAGCAATAGCACATTCCTTCAATCAGGATGAAATTTGTTTTGTATGGTGTAACCATTTAATTAAAAGCTCGTACCCAGAATCAGATGGCTCCTCTGCTGAGTTGTTTCAACAACCAAGGGGCAATCCACCAAGGCGGTCCCTCCATCGCGGAATTAATGTGGCCGTGGAAAATGGGTGCAAAAGGAAAACACCCTCTCTATGGGACGAAATTGCTTGCCCATCTCCCATTGTATTTTTCCTGACGAAGATGTCTTTTTGTTCAGTCAAACAGATCCAAATTCTACCATCTCTGCAATTAAACGTGTTTTAGAAGACTTTTGCCTCCGATCGGGACTCATTCATTATGAAGCCCGAGCTTCAAGGTCGGAAAGGATATCTATATTCTCATTGGCAAGAAGTCGAAGTAGAAGCAGGGCTTTAATTCAACAAATTAACTATAGCAACCATTCCTCCTTATTAATTATTCCCAATCTTTACGCTTAGTTACAACTGTGAAGACATTGATCGGGAGCAAGGAAACTTCTTGTGGGGATCCACTAATGAAAGGAGGAAGATTCAGTCATTCAGCTTGTCAAATGGGAGCGGTAGCTACGAAACCCCAAGAGTCAAGGTACGTGGTCTCGGCATTCATGGCTAAACCTTGCTGGCAAGTTATGCACGCGAGCGAGAAGCCCTAAACCCAAAGGCATCAGTCGAAAGTATGTTGATAAACATAAATCCACGCTAAGTTGGAAAGCTTATTCCTTAAGCATGCTAAAGGATCCAACATCAACTTTAAGAAGTCTTCAAAGAGGTCCTGTATTAATGATGAAGGAATCAAAACTCAAAGGTATTCGAAATGGCGTGAATACCGTAAGTTTGGGAACAAAAGTGGTTCCCTCAAGGACCCACTTGGAATATTGATAAAGGGGCCACTTTGAAAAGAAGAAGAAGTCTTTGTTGTAAATAAAGTGTGTATTTCAAAAGATCTTGTCTCACCTTGGAAAATTAAAGGGACTCCTCGTCATTTATAATGCTTAGGCCCCGTTTGCCTTGGCAAGTGAATTTTTTAGATATTTGTTTAAAACTTTACTGTTATTTACTATAGAAGTTGTAGAAATTTTTTTTGAAATATGTAAATTTTTGGATATTTTGAAATGTATAGTTTAAAAATTTTGAGAAATTTTTTGAAATTATTGTGGTTAAAGTTATTAAAAAACTTGTAGCAGACAAACTTGGTCAAAAACTTGCTTGCCAAACAAGGCCTTAGTCTTTTATTGGACTTGTGTTAGATTGGTAACTAGTGTAGACTCACGTGCATGAGAGGGTAGTTAAATTGTACTATTTCAGTACAAACTGACGGATTTGTACACTCTGCGTGAGGGTTAAACATGGCCCAAGATAGTTTTTCTTCTTTTACATTTTTTTCAATGTTTGATCGAGAAGATAAAATCTTATCCCATCGGTTATAAAAGTCAGGCACGTTCACAACGTTCTTTTATTAACATTGTTTTCTGTTTGACAAAATTAGGCACTTTTCTTTTTATACTACCAGAAATTATCTCTTATCCTATCTCTAATGTCTATAAATAGCAGTTACTCCTACTTTAGAAAGCACACCAAAAGCTGATAGTAGAGATCTTCCTATCAGTTTTCTTCTTCTACTTCTACTTTTTCTTCTTCTTATTCTTTTTTCACTCTGTGCTGGATTTACGCAACATTTGTTAGTTCTCATCCTTCTTATTTATAACAAGAAGAAGGCTTATTTAATTTTGAAAAAACATTTCAACTTCTTGAAATAGTTTCTTAGAACAGTATTATTAAATACAACTTAAGCTACCTTTTATTAGCTTTAGTTAAGCTATTTTTCCTACAGTCTTGAGGGTCAACACGAGTTATTTGGCGATAACACCGCTATGAGATTGCTCCATGAGAAGAAAAAAAAAACCCACTTTGAGAGACCTGACCAAGCTTTCTTTTACACTTCCAAGTCCTATTACATTCATTCCGAGACAAACTTATAATGCTGCCAATGATGTCATCAAATGGCTTTATTCCACTAATAGCGTTTTTTCTACAAATTCTGTTTATGCGTTTCTTCAAAACTCTTTACACATGGTGGATCAAATCCGTCCCAATTCCTATTCTTGGGTATGGAATGCCAACACGTCTTCAAGACTTGAATGTTTCATTTGGCTGGCAGTTCAATCGCGTCTTTCCAGAAGAAGCCTTCTTACAAGGAGTGGGAAAATGTTGACTGCTGATTCGTGCCAGATTTGCTATCAAGACTCTTGAGGATGTTGAACACGTCCTACGACTTTGTCCTGCACCTCAAGAAACCTGATCCCTCAAACGAACCTGCAAAACTTGTCTCAACCTTTCGCCTGCGGTTCTGAGTTATTGTCACCATTCCAAATCAATCGCAGTGTATCAGTCGCGATGGCGCCGCGACACGTATTCACCAAATAAATTAATCACGAAAAATGCATGTAATAGTACATCTTAAACTTCATTTTGTATTTATTTTATCAAAAAAAAAAAACATTTTTTGACTCGGCTTATAGAAGCACAACAATGTCCAGGGATTATTTATTTTTATTAGTCTATGGAAATCAAGAACTAAAAATTTTCTTATTTTTTTTCACTTATTGTTAAATAGTATAAGATTTTTAATTGATGTTTCAACAACCATTGTGTATTTCAAACCATAATAAATGTTGAGTAAGTACATTTTTTATGTGCTAAATACTCACATATATGTACATCTACTCAAATTGTAAGAGGAAAGCATAAGTATATTTCAAACATTTGAGAATTTTAGATTTCAGTGTTAGTGATGTTAATTAGAGTCCCGTATTAATGCTAGAAATTGCTAAATTAGGCTTCAATTTGGTGCTAATTAAATGTAATTAGTAGTCAATCTTGACAAATTAGTCCTTCAAGAAAGTGATTGAGTCAATGTACAACTTAAAATAATGAAGTCCAAACGGAAAGCTAAAAACTAAAACGCTTTAGGGGTTGACTGCATTTACTCAGAAGATTTGGGGTCAAAATGCAGTTTTCTGAAACTGGTTTCATCGTCACCCCATTTACTTCTTCAATGGCTTCCAACAGTGGAGGATGCAAAGGAGGGACAGCCGCCTCTCCCCATCTAACTTTTTCTTGTGTTGACCGTATAAGGGCTTCCGCCAAAGCCATTGTACCCATGGGCAAAATGAATTAAAATTAAAGAAGAATCTGCCATATTTTCAACAAATTCTTGAAATGATAGTTGGTCATAAGTTACACAGTATCAGATGAATTCGAGTCACCGCGCACTGCCAGCCCTCCATTTGTGCTATGCAGTGGCATGGGTCAACCTCTTTTGACTGAATGGCAGTGGGAGAAGCACTAAAAACTTATCCGGCAATATGATTAATGGAGCTCCTCTTCGTGCATGTATATGCCTACACATTTTGTTTGGTGGTGGCTTGATCGGCTTCAAATTAATTGACCTCCATGTTCGCCAATGTAAATCACGAGGGCATCATTTTGATTTTGGTGGTGGAATGATGTCAAATCGATCGTGTTTGAACAATAGCAGGGCATCAATTAATGGTCTTAATTAACTTGATGTGTAGAGCAAATTGAAAATTCAAGAACTGATGGATTGCAAAGCTTCAGAGTGGCTGCCTAATCTTTGCGATGAAAATTATGGAACACCTGGAGACATGGATCAAGATAAGAAATTATGCATAGACAAAATAAGAAGAGAGAGGGAGAGAGAGAGAGTGTCTAAACTTTCCTTCCTTTGAGAACTTATAGGCCAAAAGGAACAGCGTTTTCTGTCATTTGTATACTACTATTTTATTTACTGCGGGCAATTATCAGTTCTTCGTACACCGGATACACTCATGAGACGCATATTTGCATCATATCGAATTTGCATTTTCTTTAATGTTTGCAGAAAACCCAAAAAAAAAAAAAAAAAAAAAACCGTACCATGCAGTAAAAGTAATATAGTTGAAATTTGGTTTTTTTGGACTTGTGATGGTAGTATATAACTATTCTTCCGTGATATCGCGGTTTATCTTGGCAGAAACAAATGACAGCAAATATTTATGTTGAGCGAGCAGAAACATGAACGCGACCGAAATATCAATCCATAGATGAAGGTCCATTCCCAAACGTGAAAAACAAACATCTGTTCATTCATAGAAGCCACGGTATTAATAAAGACGAGTAGGCAAGTAGCAACATGCAAGAACGACGGATACAAGGAGACAGTTCATTGCCCTTCGTCTCTTTCTTTTGGTATTGGAATCTGAAATTCCGAAAAGGATACACAAGAGATGTATTCAAATTAACAAAATTTGTACTATAAGGCGACACTGCAGCACGCTGATAATCTCCATCTCCGTTGTCATTCAGAGCCTGCACGTGATCAAAACTCAAATAGGTAAAGAACGATCAAACATCTATCGGAAAAAATAGTAGTGAAAGGGTCACTAAGTATCAACCCAATATGTGGCTGCAACGAGAATGGAATTTGTGTCAATCCATCCATATTTCGGCCTTAACTGCTATTTGATTGTAATTTTACCTGGATTTTGGTTGTTCATGTCTCTTTGTTTATTTGACTCAATTCAACTTTTATTGTACTGATTGTAACGTACAATTTACTGTTTGAGAATAAATTTTAACTTACCCTGAAAAAAAAAAATAGTAGTGAAGGGCGGAAGAAGTAAACGTACTTGGTGCAGTCAATGTTAGGATCAATGGTAACATTGAGGTTGACGTTGCAGAGGGCGGGGAGTTGCTTAGCGTTGTCATAATTTATGTTGGGATAAGTTTGCGCAGCAGATTTCAAGCATCGGCAGGCGGATTGCAAATCGTCTTTAGACAAATTAGCCGAATTGGCCACATCTTGAGCACCAGAACAACATTCAATGCTGGGTGCGGGATCAGCAGCTTGCCAGTAACTTAGGCATGGAATCAGCTCTTGCAAGGCACCAATGCAGTCAAATGCCTTGGACGGCCTCACAATCAAAGCTGCAGCCACTATCAGCCATACAAAACAATGCACCATGGTTTTTGCCATTGTAATTAAAACTGGCCTTTCTGCGTCAGACGGTATTAGAAGGAGAAGAATTGGAGGAAGAAATTGTTGACAGAGAATGTCATTTGGACACTTATTTATACCACAAAGAAGATTTCAAAAGGATTAAGGCTTAGTCCTTTTCCTTTACTAGCAAGACAAGTTCTTGGTAAGAGTCATGTCTCTGTTGTTGGAGAAGGGAGACGGATGCTGTTCGTTCATGCATCATCAGCACTGGATTTAGATTAAATATAACGAGTCGGTTACCTTAAAAACCTCCATTCTGTGTATTGCCGATTGTCAGCAGCATGTATGGAATCAATGCACGTATATACATTTATAACCTTTTTTTTTTTTTGGGATTTGTTGATCATCTTAAATGCATTTTCTTATTTGTTCGTTATGTGGACCTTACTGATGAGGAGGATACATGTATCGAATGCCATTTAAGGAGGATCTTGGTGTTGTCTGCAGCACTAATGTTACTTCCTATAAAGGATCATTCCATGATTGAACAGTTGTTGGTTCATTAAGTCATAAGGAAGGTTCTTGAATTTGGATAGAATGATTTGGGAAAGATTTTTGCAAATAAAAAAATATATATATATTTTACTTGTATAAAAAACAATTTTTCAATTACTTTTTTTTTAATATATTTTTAACCATATTTTTATCTCACATGTATCAGATTATTAAAAAACAAATTCTACGACATTATTCCCAATGAAATTTTCAAAAATTCTCGAATCGGTGAGATATTTTCCCCTATATATGATGTGATCTCTGTTTTAGCTGTGGATTTATCTTACAGAATCTTACTTTTTGCCTCAAAAAAAGAGAAAGACAATGTAGATGCCATAAAATTCCAGCTCGCACGATAATTTTCAAGTTCTTCTAAGTTTTAACTGAGCTAACTGATGGCACAAAGATAATGTCCATGCAGTCAGGAATTGTTTTGACTGGATTAAATGCACCAAGAGACCTGGAGACTCGGCCTCGCTGAGTTTTTAACATTTTGAATTGATAAAAAAAAAAAAAGGGATTTATTGGGCATTTCGACGGTATCAAAATGGGTCTAAACCATTTTATTCACGCCAATATTGGTCCCATAACTTTTAAGGGACTCCTTCGGTATATGTAGACTCATATTTTTTTGTACTATTTAAGTCCCCGCGCCCCGCTAATTTGCCATCTCTATCTTATAGTCATTAGTCCAATTGTAAACATTGTTAATGAAAATGGAAAGTAGAATACATGAAAAGCTGGAAAGAAGAGATATTTGCTTGCTGGTAAGTACCAATAATACGGCTAACAATATTTATTTTCAAGTTTTTAAATTTTTTTTTAAAAAGGAAAAACCGTTCAAAACGTCCCTCACACTTTGCAAAATAACTTTTTCCGTCCCTCACTTTTAAAAATGTAATTTTACGTCCCTTACAAATTTACATTGGTCAAATTTGGTCCCTACTTAGGTTTCCGACTAGTTTTTGGTCAGAATTCACCATGTGCCTTGCACGTGATCATATTTTAAGGGCAAAATTGTCAAATCAAATTTTATATAATTCGATTTTTAATCCCTCACATTTCATAAAATAAATTTTTTCATCCCTTATATTTCATAAAATGAATTTTTTCATCTTTCACATTTTTCAAAATGAATTTTTTCATCTTTTATGGATCATGTGTGTGAATAATATGTTTTAAATTTATGTATATATTTATTTGATTTCACCTAAACAATACGAATAGCATGTGAAATCAAATAGAGATATATTATATACTATTCGTAGTACTCAAGTGAAATCAAATAGATATATACATGGATTTAAAAAATTTGTTAGTTTTTCGCTTATATTTATTTTCTTTTACTCGAAATTTGAAAATAAAGAAGACATTTAATCCTAAATATTATCGAGTGTTTATATCGAATTAAATTTGGATAGAAAAAGTAAACAAAAGAAAAGTATGACAAAAAGAAATAAGCGATTGGCACTTTCAAATTTTAAAACAATCACAAGGCAAGTAATTCAATTGTTGGTTTTAAAAGTGTCGAATAGAAATTTCAGATTTAAACTGAAATTTATTAGCACAATTATAGAATTCGAGTTAGGACCCATTAATTGGATGATCTTATTATACATCTCAATAAATAAATTATTACCAAAAGAGAAAGGTTACAAATATTGAATAGGTTCAAATGGTGAAATCATATAAATATATACATGGGTTTCAAACAAAATTATTAGTTTTAAACCCCTATATATATTTATTGAATTGCATGTGTATAATTACAATTAGTATGTTTAGATGAAATCTAATAGAGATAAATTACATGTTATTCATACTGTCAGATAAAATCCAATAGACATATATGTGGGTTTATAGAAAAAAAGCTATTCGTACAAATGATCAATGAGGGATAAAAAAATTCATTTTGAAAAATGTGAGAGATAGAAAAATTCATTTTTTGAAATGTGAGAAACGAAACAATTTATTTTGTAAAATGTTAGGGTCGAAAAAATTCATTTTGTAAAATGTGAGAGACTATGAATCAAATTATGTAAAAATTTGATTTGACAATTTTGTCATTAAAAAATGATCACATGCAAGTCACATGGTGGATTTCGGTCAAAAACTAGTCGGAAACCTAAGTAGGGACCAAATTTGGTCAATGTGAATTTGTAAGGGAGATAAAATTACACTTTTAAAAGTGAGGGACGAAAAAAATCATTTTGTAAAATGTGAGGAACGTTTTGAACGATTTTCCCTTTTAAAAAATCAGTCAATAAAAATCAGTCTATATGACAAATATGCTTAGAAATTGAAATATTTAGGACTGCATTTGTTTTTTTTTGCTAAACTTTAGGGACTAGAAGGGCTCATGTCCCAAATATTTGGGACGAAAAATGCAATTCTCTTTGGGCAAAAATAATAATTCATAAGGGACATCATTGAATATTTTTAATTTTTCAAGAGAGAAAAAAACTTGATTTTGTAGGACATGGAGGAGGTGGGCGGTGAAGGGGCCCTCTATTTGTATTATGTGTGTGTTATGAAAGAGCCCCTAACAAAATTTTGAGAAATTACTGTTGATCTCTTGTAAGGGTAGTAGTTAGGCATTTGTGGCAAAATTGTGATGATATTCGTTGTGACATTATCGTTAACCTTTTCGTATTTAGTTTCAGGCTTATAGCATGAACCTTAGCTGATTCTTATTAGAAACAAGTGTTCTGGAGCGCTCCATTAGAAAAAATAAAAAATGTAAGTTTCAGGAATGATTTAGCAATATTAGCATCTACTCTGAACCAATGATCCAGTATTAAATGAAAGGGGGGGGGGGGAGGGGTGCATGAGGAAAATAAATAAATAAACAAAACTCAGAAACAGAAAGCAATTAATATGATTTTGTATTTGCATAAGGACAGTCACTTCCACATTAATTTCTTAACAAACATGGCCTAATTATCCCAAGATCGCTCCTTATATATTCGGTCCTTCCATGAGACAACCAAATTCTACTTCACCTGAATTCTACTTCACCCATCAACTTCCTTAAAGATTAACATGGCAGAAAAAGACGTGATTTCCTGGTGTTTGGTGGTTTTGGGTCTGATCTTAGTAAGCCCGGCAAATGGGATGCAATGCAGAGAGGCGGTGATGGCGATATGGCCTTGCGAGCCTTTCTTGTTGGGGTATGGAATAGTCACATTCCCTTGCTGCTTCGGCGCTGCCGCCCTGAACCAGATTGCAGCGTCTTCTCAGCCGCACCGCAAAGACATCTGCGAATGTCTAGTGCGAGTTGGAAAGGCCATGGAGGTCCAACTGGATAACGCTAAGCAACTTCCTCAGCTTTGTCAGATTAATGCCACAATCCCCATTGACGAAAAAGTCGACTGCAACAAGTACTAAAATGAATTCCCTTTCAGATTTTTGTTAACTTTGATTTTTTTTTTCTTTCTTTTTTGACTCGTCGTTTTATTGTGCAGACTTTGATTAGTATTCCCCGGTGGAGCAGGATGAGGAGGTGGCTCCAAATTTTAATAATAATAAAAAAAAAAAAATGGAACCAAGAACGGCTAGCAATAGCATAGATTTTTCTGATGATTCTTGATAAGATGTATGTGTATTGCAATGCAAAGACTGTAAGAAAGCAAAATTGAGTTTCAATTCAATCAGAGATAGAGTTTCATGGATCGGTTTCTCCAATTTCTAAATTAAGGGTTCTAATGTGATTGCTCAACTCTTTTTATGTCCAGAAAAAAAAAAAAGGTAAGGTGCAATTTTTCTGATAAATTAAGAACGCATTGGGGGGTCAAGTCAAGTGTTTGGATAAGAGAAATGGACCAAAGCCTGTGAAAGTTATATGTTGTATCTATCCAATTACAAAGAAGGGCGACGCGTTAACATTGAGCCCAGCGGCAAAGGCCAGGCCTCGTGCAGAAACTTGTATATGGTTTTCAATTGATTCCCTCTCCGTTGCAAAAAAACGTAAAAGGGATTTGAAAATCAAACACAGAAAAAAAAAATAAAAATAAAAGGAAAACAACGAGAAAATCATTTAAGAGTTCAAAGGGGGACAAAGAAATAAAGTACCGAGGTAATAGATTAGAGTGATGACAACCTTGATTTGATCATGTAAGAATTGTTGGTCGGCACTTCAATCCCACAAACAACACACAACTCTCTACCAAGTGAATGAACGAGACAAGTAGTATATGTTACAAACAACATTCCAACAGAAAAAGATTTGCATGATTACATTACTGTTTAGTCGAACAATGTTTGTTTTAATTTGCGTTCAAACAAATGCGGTTTATTGGAAACCAGCGAATCATCAGCTGCCGCAGTTTGCAGACCCATTCCCTTATTGGGATTTCCACCTTGAAATGGACCTCTCAGTTTTCTCGAGGGCCTTTCTTAATACTAAAAAAGAGGTCGTTCCCAGACTCAAACATCTAGAAAGACAAGAAGCATAATCGCTTCATGGCGGTGAGTTCTATCTTGTCATCCTCTCCCTATTTTCTTGTTTCTTGTTTCAGTTATGGCATGGTAGTACTTCTTTTCATCTGCACGCGGTTTTAAAGTGTTTCGTTTTGCTGTTGAACTGCTTTTTGTTTGGTGGGACTAGTTCAACTCTGCAACTTCAGAATTTGTTGGCTAGGACCATGGTTCGAAGTCTCGGCCGAGACCGAGACGACTCGGCCGAGTCGTCACCGTCTCGGCCCCTACCGATACGATACCGTGACAAAACGATACCGAAATACTTGACTCGCCGAGAAATCGGCCAAGTCGTCACCGCGAAGGATTGACTCGGCCGAGTCACACCGAGTTACTCCGAGTTATCCCGAGTCAAGACGAGAAATCAGCCGAGTTACACCGCGACGGATTGACTTGGTCATTTCTTTTGCTATTTTTTAATTATTTTTATTTAGCCTACTTTTTTATAATTTTAACAATTTTTAGAATATTAAATACTTTAAAATTTGTGTCTCACCGAGACCGCGATCGATATGCCGAAACCGATGTGGAACGTTCCTGGCCGCACCCGCGACCACGACCGTGACTTTAAACCATGGCTAGGACAGGTGCAACCTGGGCTCCAGTTTGGTGCAGGATTGTTGTGATTGCATTCTAAAATTTAGCATAATCCTGCTAACTAAGCATGATATTCTATCCGAATTGCAACAATCTATTATTAGAGGCAACAACGACCCTTTTTGAACAAATCATGGCGAAAGATAGTTTTAATTTGGATTCCTCCACCCGACTCAATTGCAGTATTCTAGCATAGACAGCTGGTGATCTTTTTGAATCCGGCTGTCACAAGTACTAACTCATCTAGCTGAGAATACAACAAATCTTCTTTGGCAAGCCCTTAGACAATTTTGTTTTCTGAAAGACTCCAGCTGAATTATGCTTGAAATCACTTGTATTATGTGTTCTTCCTTGCATACGGTGCCCAATTTCTGCTGCTGTTGGATAGCTTTTTATAGTTATTGCAGGTATTCAAGTTGTGTTGTGTTTCTTGTTACCTTTTGGAATTTACTTGCAACATTGCAGTTTCTAAGATAAGCGCATGAATTTTAAATGACTTGGCTGCAGCAGCGATCGCATGTTCCAAAGTTTGGAAATTGGGAGGGTGAAAATGTACCCTACACGGCCTACTTTGACAATGCGCGGAAAGACAAGATAAGTGGTACCAGAATGAATCCAAATGATCCGGAGGAGAATCCTGAGGCCTTCGTGTTTTCAGGATTGATAAACGGAGGTGAAGCTTCTGAGTTCAGCCCGACTCCTTTGCAAAGAAACCTTGTCAGGCCAATTTCTTCAGAAAAATACCGACAAAAGCAGCGCTATGGTCATTGGAGAAACACTTCTGATGAACCAAAAAGTGTTGGTCAGAAGAGCCCTGGTTCAGAATCAATCACTGATAAAAACAATTATGACAATCCACACCAGCAAAAGAGATCTGAACGCAAGAAGAGTATGATGACTGAGAATAGCAATAGTTTTATTCCATTGTCACCTGCACGCAGGGCAAGAGGTGGAAGTGATACATCTGATGACCTTGTAAGCATTTGGTTTCCCATCCAGCCGGTTCTCGATTGTTTCTGTGTGTAATGACAGGCTAAAACTACAAAATTCTAAACGGTGCTTTCAGTAAAAATGATTTTGTTTCAAAACTGAAGAATACATAGAGGAACTCATCCTTGTGCCATGCCAAGCTGTATGGTTTGAACAGTGTTCTTCATTTCCAGGCAAAACTATATGTTTGTGATTCAAAGACTGAACATGCACTGCACTCTGCAGTACCGTAGATATGCAAACAACAAATTAGTTAAAGCAGGTTAACATTTGCTTAATAATTGCAGAATACCGGTCTGGAATTGCTACTGTTTTACACATCTCGTTAGTTGCACATTACTAATGTTGCACTCATAATTGACCTGTTCGTATGCTCCTGCCGATTTCTTCTCAATCAGTCTTACAATTCAGCATCTGTTCCCAAATTCGGGGCTTGGGATGAACGAGACCCCAGATCTGGAGAAGGTTTTACTGTAATCTTCAACAAAGTGAAGGAGGAAAAACGAATCGCTGCATCAAAATTCGCACCTGCACAGCAGCCTCAGTCTAGCAACAATGCAGAAAGCCATAAAAGGGACACTAAATCAAAGGTCTGCAATTTATTTCTACAAGGAAATGCTCGTAATTTGGACCCGGCACGCGCATTTATCTCACTTTAATCGTTGTTTCTCTGTGCAGATGTTTTGCTGCCTGTTTTGAACTGCAACAAGTTGATCCTGGCGGCTTGGTTCGTCCGTCTGGTTAAAGCTTGAGAATGTATTGGCGGCGATACACTCTCAGTGTTTGTTTTATTCCTTCCGCTGCATCAACATCAACAGGGTTTCTGCAGTAAAATCTGGAAGTCTTGGCATGCATACTGGTACTACTTTTTCCGGGCATTCATTTCCTTTCGTCGCATGAATACAAGCACTTTCGGCAAAGTTTTCCAAAGGGGAGTGTGTTTTTGTAATAGAATCATCATACTAGCTAGTATAAAGCAAAATGTAACAAAACCTAGAGCATTATCAGAATCAGTCACTTTCTATATCTCAGTCTACTCCGCTGGCTGAATATTTCGGTGCTCTTCCATCACTTGGGAAGTGAGAATTCTGAATTTGCAAGTTCCTCGCTAATAGTATAGAACCGTTCAAATTCAATTTCTATACCATATACTTTTTGAGGAAAAGTTTCAAAAATTCAAAAATCTTTGGATTAGCTTAATTTGATTATGTAACATGTGGGTCATGCCAGTCTGTGATGTGCTCATCAACTTTATTTCCATCACATCCGTGGAGAAGCACAAGCAGCTATGAAGAAATCATTAAAAATTTTAAAATAATTCAAATGCTCAACTTTTTCTTTCTGATTGCAAATAAATTTTTATTCGGCGGAAGATTACAAATATATAGTTCAATCACTAATCAAACTTATAAGATCGATCCTTTAAAAAAAAAAAAAAGAAAAAGAAAAAGAAAAAGAAGCTCATTACTAAATTCACTTGTTTAAATGATTGAGCAAAACTATTTGAATGAGAGAGTTTCTATCATGGTTGATTTGCATTAATCATTTAAAGAAATCATCATCTTCCCCTAAAACGAGATAGCTCATATTCAAGCAAAACACTTATTAGGAAGTTGAAGCCGTTACAGGGAGATAAGGTTTTAATTCTCTCTCTTCTTCTTCCTTTTTTTGGGTTAATTGCACTTTGCATCCAAAACTATTTCCAAATTGGACTTTGCATCCTAAACTTTTATTTTTCGCAATTCACTTCCTTTAACTTTGAATTTTTTTTTCAAGAAACTCAAACTTACCTAATTTTGACCGGTACCCTATGAAGGAGGTAAAAAAAAAAGCACATGAGTTTTTTTAAAAAGTGTCAATGGGTACTCGTTAACATATTAATAATTAATATCCTCATTTATCCAAAAAGAATTCTCTTTCACATTTATACACATTTCCTAAATTATGACCCTTTATTGCATTTATACACTTTGTCTAATTTTCTTTATTTTTTAAAATATAGTAATACGAGTACTTGTTGGGCTCTCTGTGGACAAGTACATGTACAATGGGACATATTTACGCGTAGCAAACGACGTCGTCCATCAAAGTGTAAAAATAAATTATTTAAAAAAGGGGCGCCACGTCGGATATCGCCTCCGTCTCAAGCAAATGGAATCCGGTTTTAAATTCCCTCCCTTTCAGGGTTTTCAAATTCTCTCAACAAATACCAAATACTACGACTACTCACCTCAGTTTCCTCTCTCAAACCTCTCTCCCAAATCCGTCCAAAAATGGAGAAGACGGTTTCAGTTCCAATCACTTATTCTTGCTCGAAAGATCACCAGAAGATCTATCAGTATTGGTTCAACTTCGCCGACTCAGGTTTTCCTTCTTTTTTTGGTCATAACTTTTTCGTTCAAATTAATTCAGTTGCTGTTCTTCCCTTCCAATTAATCGTTAACTATGTTCTTCCTTTCTTTTTTTTTTTTTCTTTTCTTTCCTTCTTATAGATTTATTTACTTAGCATTCTACTTTTCCTTTTGTGCAGACGGCGATGGCCGCTTGACTGGAAATGATGCTACGAAAATTTTCGCCATGTCCAATTTGTCTAGGCCTGAACTGAAGCAGGTATATTCTATTATGTGTCTGGATGGGGAATTATTGTACGCACATAGTAGGTAGGTGATGTGGATGAATAATTTAATATCGATTATGGAAAGGACCTTCTCTCTCTCTTTCTCTCTTGGAGGAAAAATGTTAAATGTGCGATTGGTCTACTGCTCAAGAAATATATTATTAGTACAGTCGATTTGGAGTTTTTTTTAATTGTTTTGGTTATTGGTTTAGTAAGTGAGTCGAAGTGCTAGATTTATGAAATCTGATGTACCTGTATCTGTGTTTTAATTTTATGCACTCCAAAGTGGAAATTGTCGATGTCAAAGGCAGTTTTGATATATTCATCTACCAGCGGAAAACTCTAATTGCCGTTAGGAGATGAAATTGAATTGCTAAGACATTGAAGGATTTTACCTTCGAAATTTTTGTTATCTCTCTTTTGCTGTTTACCTTTATTGCATTGATCATCGTCCTTACCAGGGTTTTAGAGCCATAGCGAGCCATATTTCTTTTCAATTGCAGGACTTATGGATTATCCGTTCTCTAGTTTGTTTGACCATTGTGATTGTTACCACAGTTGGTAATTTGCTCTTGAAACATGTTTGTTAGTGTATTTATGATTTTTTTTTTGAAGGTCTGGGCATTAGCCGATTCCAAAAAACAAGGTTTCCTTGGTCTGACGGAGTTTATCACTGCAATGCAGGTTTCACTATAGAACCCCTTTTGTATTTAAAGTCAATTCATTGTCCAGAATTGAGTTCTGATTTTTTGTCTTTCTTATTTCTTTTTTCCCCTGATTGATAGTTGATAGCTCTTGCACAAGAAGGTCATGAAATAAACTCAGCTCTCCTTAAAAACGCAGGCAAGTGGATTTTATTACCCAAATTTTCCAAGCTCTACCTCATTTATGCCATTGGAATTTAGAGAAATTTAATCTAAGGCATTTTCTATAGACTTAAATTTTCGTCATCTAACTTAAAACCTTCATGCTGATTATTTGTCTATTGCACATGGGCATGTAGATTCTACAAATTGCCTTCACTTTTTTCATTTTCGATGGAAAGAGACTCTCTCTGTTGGTATGTTGAGAATTTTGGTTATGAGCTAAAAGGTGAGGCTAACTTGTTGCAGTTTACTATTGCAGGAGAAGAATCTCAAAAGAACAGTATATACAATTGCACCTAAATAATTTCAAGATATCTGTGAAAATTGTGGTTGGGAAGTTAGGTTTTTGAGCCAATCTACTAAAAGTTGTGAGACTATTTTGCACGAGACATTTTTATGACTAATTTGTCATATTCTTTAAAAGAAATCTCACTACTGTCCTAAGAAATTGCTTTAGTGTTCATCATTCCTGTATGGCTTGTCTCCAAGTATACATAAGCAGCCAGATAATGCTATATAGCTGAAAATGCATTTTGGTGAATATCAGTGTTGGACGGTATAGGATGTCATAGAATATCTTTGCTTCTGAATTGAACACTTAGATTCCAGGAATCTCTTCCTCCTAGGCAAGATTTTAGATATATAACTATTGCTCAGAGTTTTCTTCTGAAGTTGATGCTGTGATCCTTTAGACATCTTTTTGCTGTATTGAAGTTTTTGTGTCTTTGTCTTTTTAGCTGTCTTGGAAAGTCTGAATCTCCCTGTGATGGAAGGTTTGGCTGCCTTACAGGCCGTAAGTACACCATTTCATTTTGTTGTAATAAATTTATGATAAAAGCTTCAAGCTTCTGGTTTCTCACTCTCTTCCCCTTCCTTCCAGAAGACCAACGTATCACCAGTCAAGGAAAAGCTTGAAGGAAATGGTCTGATATTTTTTCTTATTGTTTAATGTCACTCTTTCTCTTTTTGACTAAAATATAATCTCATGCCATATAAGTCTATTGTTAAAAAAAATGCAGGAACTGCTGAACTGCAGTCCAATCCCCTAGTCAAATTATCTAAAAGAAAATCTGCAAAGAAGGTATAGCTTTGATTCATCCAAACATTACCTTGTAGATCTACCTCTCAGGAGATTATTCTGACTTTTTTCACTCTTTGCTTTCTTACTGTCTCTATTTGCATGAATGTGATGTTTGTGTCTTTCCATTTCACAAAGTCGTCCAATGACTTAAATTAAGTCCTCGAACAGAAAAATCTACTACAACTTCTTGACTTGGAAGAGTACCTTTTTTTTCAATGCATAAATTGACAAACAAGTGTTTTTTTTTCGTGTTTTGGGGGGGGGGGAGGGTTTGAAGTCCGTGACTGATGTAAGGTTCCATATTCTTACAGTCCCTGAGTTCCGTTGCCCCTGTTACTTCTGTCACTGATGGCTTGAAAAGATTGTACAACGAAAAGCTAAGGCCTTTGGAAGTTACCTACCATTTCAATGATTTTGGGTCGCCATTACTGGTGAGTGAATTAACAAAACATCTATGCTTGTGTCCTTAGAAATCTTGCTTTATTAGCTGTTATTCACATCTCATTGATTCTTATAATCATCCTAGAAGTTGTAGATATCTGTATTCATCTGATTTATTTCCTTCAACTTTCAGACAAATAGTGATTTTGACGCCAAACCAATGGTCATGCTTTTGGGCCAATATTCAACTGGAAAAACCACATTTATCAAACACTTGCTTGGGTGTAGTTATCCAGGTTGGCCAGCTCGATATATCTGTTAATTGAGTCTTCAAATACTTTTATTTGGTGGCGACTTTCCTCGACTAAAGGTTTATTTTTATATTCGCAGGAGCTCATATTGGACCAGAACCAACTACTGATCGTTTTATTGTTGTTATGGTACTCAAAATCCACTAATGTATTATCAGAGTTTTGTCATTTAAGTCTAATATTTCTTAGGAAGTTGAGATTAATCTGGAAGTATGTTATAATCAGATAAGATAGTCAATGTAGATTTCTAGGTATTGAAGGATATACTGATTTTCACTCCTTTTTTTTTGGGGGGGTCTTCTTGGTTGCTTATGTTGCTCAAAGAACTTTCATTTGCCTAGATTGTTGTTCATTGGGCCACCAGTGTAGCTGTTTATGACGGCAAATACTTGTTTACTTCACATTTATAATATTGGGTCTATTGCAATTATTGTTATCCTCCTCTATTGTTCACCACTTGCTTTTTCTTCTACTCAGTCTGGACCAGATGAGAGAAGCATTCCTGGCAACACCATTGCTGTTCATGCAGAGATGCCATTTACTGGCTTGACAACTTTTGGAGGAGCCTTTTTGTCCAAGTTTGAGTGTTCCCAAATGCCACATCCTGTGAGTTATTACCTGCTGCAGCCATACGCATTGCCTTTTGAATTTATAAGATGTAATTATCTAACACAATTTTCATTCGATTTTAGCTGCTTGAACATATTACTTTTGTGGACACTCCTGGGGTTTTGTCTGGGGAGAAGCAGCGGACACAACGTAGTTATGATTTTACCGGCGTTATCTCATGGTTTGCTGCAAAATGTGATATGATACTCCTGCTTTTTGATCCACAC